CGCCGCGCGCCGCAGAAATCGGCGCCGTGTTCCGGTATTCCGTAAAAAAGAAAGAAGGAAACGCGCACGAAGCAAATTTTATCTACAATGTGCTCGATCAGGCCCGAGTATCGGGGCCCCTCTCTGCGGCTCGCTGAGCAGCTACGCGCGCATAAAATCGCGAGTATGCATCGGCGAGGTTCGCGATATTTATTTCATTTTTCTTCTCAGGAAGTTTCGCGAAACGCTCGAAAGTCGCGCGGTCATCCTCGCGATTTTTGCGCTTTCTGAAAATCACTGTAGAAGGTGATGTCGCAAACTTCATGTCTCACGACGGCGCGAACTTAACGATTCTTCGAACAATCTGAAGTTCCCAGCGGTGATTCGATCGTAAGATTTCCGGATGCGTACAGGAAGTCGCTAAAAGAAAAAGCGCGTCAATTTTCTTGTGACACTACAGTCTTACTTTCTCTCGGGTCTAATTTTAATTTTATTTCGATTTTTTTCCTTCCGATTATATTAATAACAAATTCTATTAATTGCAGATTTATTAGTCTTCCTGATATTTATGCCTCCCTTGTAGGTGTCGATAATAACGTCTGGTTCGCGTTAGATATAAGTATAGCACATTGTAATAAAAGCAAATATCAACTTGTTGCGCAGAAGAATTAGCAAAAAGTGTCGATAATAACGTCAGCTGTTGTTATCGTGCAAAAATAACGGAAATTTAGATATTAATAGCCACCGATAAATTAAAAATCGCAAAAGATATGTATCTTGTTGAAAACATTCCGTTTTATTTCAGTTGCAACACACGCGAGTACAATTGTAAATTTCACAGAGGTAACGATATGTTGAATTAATAATAGAGAAGTTATCGTAAAAAAAAAAAACTATTCAATTATTCATATTCTCTTTGTATACGGCAAGCCTGTGATAGAGCATTGCTATAATTCTGCAACGTCAGCAATGCAAAACCAGAAAATTCACGCGATCGCGGTATACAATAAACGTGGCGCACCCGTGAGACGACGTTATTTTTAAAGACCCTTCAAATATGCAAGCCGGTTTTAACACACCGCCGCGGCCGCCGCGGTTAAAGCCGAGACTTTCCCTGCGCGAAATTAAGGATAACGCCGCACGGATTCGAAACGCGCGGTGCGAAAGCCGAATTGCCCTCCCCCCGCTAAGAGATAATTTTTGGAGTAGCGTGGGAGCGGGATAAACGCCCGCGAGATTTTCCTTCCTTTTCGCACAAACGTACAAACGGAGTTTGCACAAGTTTTCTGATGCACAAGTTTGCGAAAGCGATTTTAGTGAAAGCTAGCGTCTACTCTCTGTCTCTCCGTTTCTCTGCCCTATTCTTCCGCGTGCCTCAGAATTCAGAATCCCGCTGCGTCTATTTCCAGCGCGGGTGTCCCGCATTGTTGTTTAGAAAAATCCACCACGACCCTTCTCGCCACGTCTCACGTTTACGGGGAAATTTACGACTGGCTTCTTAATTAGCCGAGCTCCTCTTCCACGCGTGGATATCCGATATCAGAGACTTCGACTTGATTTTTGAAATTGCCATTGTCATTCGACGCGCACGACAATGCGACGCATCCTGTTTTGCAATTCGCACTTTTCCGCCGTTTTCTAATGTCTTCGTAAGTGGCAGCCATTAGATGACTCACTCTGAATGCCGATAGAAGAAATTTGTCCGCACACTCGCACATCCAGCATGGACTCGTAGTTCGAAATAACAATAATTGGGAAGTGAGGAAACCTTCGGGACTCCAAAGTGGCTCAATTAGAATCACATAAATAAGACAGTCTAAAATAATCACGCAAACATTGTAACGTGGTAAGATCAAATCGGGTATTCCTTTCATTCGCGATCCGGAATTGTGACGACGTGTTAGCACGCGATCGTAAATATGCCCATTGCTTCCTCGCACGCCTCGCACGCCTGCATCTCAAGGCAGCGAAATCTATAAAAGAGCCTACCTATAATTGCAGAGGCAATTATGCGGCGGTGTATCACAGTTTGTTTCTGGGCGAACTTTTACCAGCCTCGATATTTCATCCAGAATTATAGCGCAAAACGTGACTGCAGCCGTCGGATTGTCAGATTCAACTGTCGAAAATATAGATTGCGTTGATTATAAATGAAATCGGAGTCAGGTGTCTCCGCATTCAATATTAAATAAATAGAATATTAATTTCTCTAATGGACAACTTACTAATAGATTTAATTTATATAATTTAATATAAGTTTATAAAATAGAATATATATAAATAGAATCGGCTTGTACTTCAACTTATAATAGCGTCACGCCTAAAATCAAACGGTTATTCCTCGTTTCGCTAATCTGGCGTAAAAATCATCTCTCTCTCTCGGCATATAAATTCTACATATAGCATAAACCCGACGTGATTCCTTAATTAGAAATCGTTGACCCAGTCGAAATCCAAAAATATAAAAAGTCCAAAGCAAATATGAAACCCTCGCGCGCGAGCGTCCCGCGAGATAGCGTCCAGCGAGTCGTCGTCGGGTTAGGTTCTTTTTTTTCGAAATAATCGCGTCGAGATTATCGTGGTGTCGCGAGAGTCCATGCGGCGGTGTACGGACGGCCGATAAGATAAATTTAACATTTCTCCTGGGCATTATACCTCCGGCCTCCGGGCGACCGACGACGGTTCGCCCTTCATTGTAGCGCTCGGCCGCGTCACCTAACCTCTCTCGGCCGCGCACGCGCACGCGCACGCGTGACCTAGCCTGTCCGGTACTCGCGGGCAAAAGAGGAAGAGGACCGAATTATTTTCGCAACGCGCCGCCGCAGCCCCGGGCGTCCGTAATCAAATGAATATCTTTTTTTTCTCCCTTCCTCTTTCTCTATCTCTCTTCCCGATTCTCTCGTACGGTTCTCGCGCTCCCGCGACTCCGTTTTAGGGTCGATTCAGACACAGCCGTGCCGTATCCGTACCGTGCACGGCTGTGTTTGAATCGACCCTTATCCGCTCCGGTCCGATCTGACCGCCTCGCGCGGTTCTCTACATGCCGCGCGAGAGCGATGAGAGGAACCAAAACCAAGAGGAACGGTCAATTCCTCGGCCAGTTAACATCGATTAGCTCCGTCAAGCGCCCTCCGACCGTGCCACGTAGCGCATATACGCGCGCGATACGCTCCGCAGTCCGCGTTAGACCCGTTAGGTATACTTCGTATAGATAATCGAACGTATAAACTATTATTGTTCCGGCGCATTAATCGAAACGCGAGGAACGAGCGGCGGAGAGAGAGAGAGAGAGAGAGAGAGACGCGAAAAATCCTTCGGGGACAAGAACCGGGGTAACTCTTCGTCACCGCTGCAAATTGTGGAGCAAATAGAAAAAAACATCTCGTACACCGCGTGTTCGCGGCATCGAGAAATCTGAACTCGCCGACCCCGCGAACCGTGAAGTAAAAATAGGAAGCAAATAGAATAAAATTCGAATAAGCTCTCGTCGGTTCGAGTTCGGATTTCGACATTACGGAAAGGAGAACGACTTTTATGCCCGTCGCTGATAAGAACGGAGGAAATGGCGTAGGCCTTCTTACAGGCTCTCCCATTCTCTCTCTCTCTCTCTCTCCTCCCATTCTCTCTCTCTCTCTCTCGTTACAGAAAATTTATCGCGTCCGTTTCGCCGGTTGGAACGTCGGGCTCTTTTATTCTCAGCAGGTCGGACACGCAGCTGCCTGCTAAAGGACAAAAAGGAAAAGACGAGGTATCCGGACGCTTCCTCTACCCCTCCCCGCTGACGCTTGGCGCAACTTGAAGAACCGGGCGAACACGCTGGTTGGTCAATCTCCGCGTGTGCACCATCCTCCGTCCTCCGTCCTCCGTCGTCGTTATTAAAGATTCGCTTAACCTACGCCGCGCCGCGGAGATTAGGAACGAGAATCTCGGCTTCTGTCTCGCGACGACGACGCGCGCCGGGTGCGCGAGAATACGCGCGCCCCTGGGACTTTCTCCTCGCTCGCGCGCATCCACGGCGGCCCCTGCGGGGCACAGAAAACGCCGATCGTATACACCAGCGCACTCGACTTCCTCGCCAAGTGAAACGGTCCTCGGCTCTCGGCTCTTTGCGAAGTCGCGCCATCGAAATCGTCACGGTTACTCCGTTCAGCGTCTCCGCCTTTTATCTATATATGTATATGTATATCCCAGCAGAGCTAAAATATATAAATTTACACTTAAAAATCAATGATCGAAATGTCGCCACAACCGTTTTAAATACAGATAGCCAGTTTGGTCGAATAGAAAATCATTATTGTTGAACAAATTATATAAATGTGGGATATATATAGAAAATATACATGTATATATCTCATATTATACATATATATAATATAGTACATATCATACATATACATATGTAGTATACATTCACGCGTATATCCTCAAGACCCGAAAACAAGCAGTTGCGCTCGATAATAATAATTTTAATCGCAACGGGGGAGATAGCCTGGACTCGCTAACGGATCATTGTCGCCTCCGATATTCCGTCGCGCTCTCGTTCCGATCGAGGGTTCACCCTTTTTCCTCGTTTTCGTCCCGTCTGGAATGCGTCGCGTTCCTTGGGAAGATCGACGAGTTAGAATATTAGAAAGCCGACGCTCCGTCGGCTCCAAGCGGAGGCCGAGCGGATAAAACGTCAGCGTCGTACAATATGGTAACCGGCGCGTCACGACGGCGGAAATGCGGCACGGCACGGACACGGACACGGACCCGTTCCTTACATAAGTTTCCGACTTCTCTCGAGACTGTCAACCATCCCGTCCCCAAACCCGTGCGTATTTATTGGTGCCGCGCGACGCGACGCGACGCCTCGTCATCGACGCGCGTACGCACGTCCACGTAGGGACGCGCGTCGGGACGTAGGCGTCGCGACCCGTATTTCTTCGCACCGGGGTCGCATTTTTGCGTTGCGAACGGTGCGAGACGCGAGGACTCCGCGCGAGTACTCGCGTCGACTCGCGTCGCGCCAAAAATCGGTCCCTCACCTGCGAGACGGTCCGTCGCGTGCCGGCGCCTGTCTCTCCACAACGTCGGTCTCGCTTGTCACACGGCGAAATCACACTTTTCACACACGCAAAAACCACATCTCGTTACGATCACAGTGTTCTTATTGAAAATGCTGTTAACAGAGAACGTGCGGTGCCGTTAAATAGGGCATCTGGCGTCGGGGACTTCTCGGACGGCTCGAAGATGGCGCACGTCGCAAACTGAACACTTCCGAGCTGAGACCCGTTCCCCTGTAGCCACGTCGGCCACTTCTCTTCCAATCTCTCCGAAGCCCGGCGTGCCGTCTTTCCGCGGAATCCCGTGGCTCCTCGTGGCGATTGGCCGACCAGGCCGACTGGCGACTGCCTTGAAGCTCGCTGGAAACTGCAGCTCGAACCTCGCGTGTTCGAAGATAAACTGGCTGTTGCCAGTAAAAAAAACGAAATTTAAAAATTTAAAAATTGCATTTCGTTCCTCTCAAATAAATCCCAATAAATCAGTTAATATATATATTCCGGAATTCCTTTCGTCTTTTTCACAATTATTGGAAGAATGAAATGCGATAAATTTAACTGCAATAAGGGATAACGCTGTCCCTGAACTCCCTGAAGGGCTCATGTTTATTTAGGACCGTAAACCCGTTATTCAACTATTTCCGGTCAGCTGATTTAACTGGTGAGAGAAATGAACGCCGATAATTTTCGATGCTGTCATTTGTCATTTTTTTTTTCCACTGGCGGTAGTCAGGTGTGTTTTCGAACGCGCCGTTGAACGGCGCATATATCTGGAGTTGGAGTCTGGAGTAGAGGTTTCGTTTCTGTCGTGTCGGATGCTCCATGGTGGCCGACGCCGGGTCATTTTCCAAAGATATCGCGGATTATTCGTTATTCTTGTTGTATAACCTACGAAAAAACGCAATCTGTCAGTCTTTATATTATATTCTTCGTACATTCTCAGAATTGGTATAATAAAAAGATGTATAAGCGCGCGGTAACCGGTAGTGCCGTGATACTGGCGAGAAATTTAGGATTTGTTAAGGTGAGGTATCGCCTTTCTCCTGACTTCGAAGGGATTTTTAATTCACGGAAAGTTTCACGGAGCGTTTTTCACGTTGCAGGACCACGCGTTTGCCAGTGCAGGAAGTAAAACGTTTAGCTCGATCACCCAGAACTCGCGGTACAAAGCGCTAACCCCGATAAACACTATCATAATGTTCGTTCCGCAACAACAGGTTCGTTTAACACACGGTACACTTGTTAACGTGTGTCAAGCTATTGCGAATTATTCGTATTACGTATTTCCGACCGCGACGTCAGATCGCCTTCGATTCGACTTGCGGCTCGTTAAATTATTTCAAGTAAGACTACATGCGAAATTAACTTGGCAGTCACTAGCCTAAAGGAAAGCGTTTTACTTAGGCATGGATCGTGGAACGAATGGGGAAGTTCCATAAAATTTTAGAGCCAGGCCTGAACATTTTACTTCCCGTCATCGACAAAGTCAGATACGTACAAATTTTGAAGGAACTGGCGATAGATGTGCCACAGCAGAGCGCCGTTACATCGGGTAGGTACGCCGCCGCGCTGGTCTGATGCAAGCTTTCAGAATATTGCACACGTGTGTAGCACAGTATTTGGAATCAACATCTATTCTGATTTTCTTTCAGATAACGTGACTCTAAGTATCGACGCGGTATTGTATTTAAGAGTTACTGATCCTTATCTAGCATCTTATGGTGTTGAGGATGCCGAGTTTGCGGTAATTCAAGTAGCCCAAACCACCATGAGATCTGAGTTAGGAAAGATATCTTTAGATAAAGTATTTAGGGAAAGGGAAGGGTTAAATGTTTCCATTGTTGAAAGTATCAATAAGGCCAGTGGCGCGTGGGGAATAACGTGCCTGCGATATGAGATACGTAAGTTGCAAAAGTAGTAACTATATGATAAATGTTTCACGTTGTATGAGTAGTACTAGACAGATTTCTACTTAATATTAATAATTATATTCTTTATCATACTTGTATTTATATGCTAGGGGATATAAAGTTACCATCGAGGGTGCAAGAAGCGATGCAAATGCAGGTGGAAGCCGAACGAAAGAAACGTGCCGCTATATTGGAATCTGAAGGTGTTAGAGAGGCTGAGATAAATGTGGCCGAGGGCAAACGACTCGCACAAATTTTAGCTTCAGGTGCTGTACCAGTCATATTCAGTGTAGCTCCTAATCAGTGAACTTGAGGAAGTTACGCTGCTTTATGTAATTTATTTGAAAAAGCAAATTTAATATTGTATATGTAGACACGTGATCAGTGAGAACATTAATTTTTGTAATGATAAACTTGATTATTACTTGATTGTAGAAGCGGCAAGGCAAGAGCAAATAAATAGAGCTACTGGAGAATCTGCGGCAATAGTGGCAGTGGCGGAGGCAAGGGCCAAGGGATTACAGGTGGTTGCAAATGCCCTTGGCGCGACGGATGCGAAAAACGCAGCGGCACTCAGCGTAGCAGAACAATATGTCAATGCGTTTAACAAGCTAGCAAAAGTTAATAATACATTAATATTGCCAAGCAATGTAGGAGACGTTCCAACATTCGTAGCGCAGGTTTGTCTCGCTCACTGTTTCATGGATTATCCATTAAAATTTTAATAATACTATCAGCCAAGTAATTTGTTGCGTTCCACAGGCGATGGCAATTTATAAACAAGTAATGCCGGGACACAACAATAATGAACAAACAAAACAAATAACGAGTAATCAATCGAGTGCTTCAGTTCAAAGGGAGGAATCCGATGAAGCATTTGAATACTTCAGCGACAAGGAAGAGGCTGAAAAGCACAGGAAAAACGTGGAAAAGCAAAAGCCCCGAATATTATAAATATGTATACCTGCAATAAAAAAGTATTTTCATATTTTTCAAGTTATTTAATTGAATTTTGCAATGTAAATATCATGATTTACGATCATAAAGCATTAAACCGAATCTAATTTATTAGTTCTTTTTCTTAATTCTTTTGTTGTATTACAAACTAACGTAAACACTTTTTCAAATTTATATATATTTATATATATATTTATATACATTTATATGACATTTATATGACATTTATGACATTTATATGACATATATTTATATGAAAACAAGTTGACATAGCAACATGACACGTAATTTAAAATTCAGTAGAAATCTCAAACCATACTTATATCTAGAGAAAGTAATGTTGAACAACTTACACAGTTGGCATTGTACATTGTACTATAAATTGGAAGCTTTATGGAAAGTATAATATTATAGTATACATGATAGTAAAAAGATATGTAATAGGAACATCCTTATGCCTATTCACTTATTGCGTCTCTTGGTTTGCATTACTGTGTTCTGTGTAGATACACTGTACGTTTCTTGAGAAATTTTACTCATATAATACAACGCAATCAAAGAGAATATCAAACATGTCGTGATGGACACACGGTGAATTAAAGCAGAAGCGATTAGACTTAAAGTCAACGAGAAGACCACTGTAACAAAACAAAGGTATATTAGTTTGCTTGCATATATCACTTGAAAATTACTTATCTTCGTATACTATCCGCTTAAATAATTCGCTTTATAAGTAAAACTCGATTGCAATATACGAGCTTCTTAGAAGCCAAGCCAATGATCAACTTTAAGAAATAAAAAGTAGAGAAAATTAATGAAATTACTGTATTCTGACACTAAAATTAAAAAAATTCACAAAATTTGATTAGTTTGACTTTCAAGAGGTTTCTCTATCAATACTATTTCTATGTGTACCTTCTGGAAGTAATTTTTGTTGAAACGATTTTCCAAACAAGGTACTTTCAAGATTTCCCACTGCAGTCAGCGTACAAATGAACAACAACGATCCAATCCATCCTCCCAGAATCGTTCCCAGCTGCGTCGAGCTGAGCCAGACTTTGTACATCTGCATGCCGGAGAACAGTAAGACCATCATTATCGACGACAGCACGAATGACACTCCGCTGCTAACAGCTGTAACATTAACACGTCACGTTAGCAATGGTATTAACGAGCAACTAGAGACACAGATAAATCATTGAATTGCAACGAGACTGAAATATCAATTCAACAATTGATAACTCCTTGCTTTAGCAACTGATAACTCTAGAGCTTGCCTGCTCTGGAGAAGAGCTTTTGTCGAATTTTTTTCTGTATGGTATTCAAGTACTTGGGGCGTAGAACTTCCAAAGCGCCGACACTCACCCATTGTTGCCGAGAAATTTGGAAATAATCCCAAAGGAACAATCACACCTGTCCCTTCCTTTTTCTCTCGCAGCGAGAATTCAATCGGAAATCGCGTGCAACTAGGCAACTACCTGCGAGCATTCATTCAGGTTAAGTTTGTATAACCGGCGTACTGGGCGTACATTGGACATACATACGTCATACGTCAGCAAACTGAGCAACCCCACTACCGAAAGAATGAATTTATTGATTAAAAATGGGAATATTTTTTTTTTTGTTACAGAAAACATGTACAGATTGCAAGCTGAAGTATTACTATAATACTCAAGAAAAAATGAGTTTTTTAAGACACATATCATTAAAAGAATGCATTAGGATAAAAATATTAATTTCATTATTATTGTTATTATTGTTGTTATTATTATTTGTTTTTAAAGAATTTTATTATAAAACTGTAACTAAGAAATAGATACATAATTTTAACCATTTGTAAGTTATTTATTTGCTTACTTTTACTACTATCTTAACTATCTATATATTTTTATTTTTAGACTCCTTGTATACTTCAATATATCAAATATTCATTAAATTGCAAGCAACATTATTATTCCTTTTAATGCACTTTGCAATTTATGAAATGTATAGATAAGGATTTCTTTTTGTAATCTCGTTTCTTGAGACTGGAAGAGTCCACTTTTGTAAGTGTATATAATGGAGGGGCCGGGATAAAGTGGTGTAAGTCAAATTTTTTTAAATATTTTCTTGTGTGCATAGATGCAATTTATATATTGCACAGATTGCATCTATGCATACGAGAAAATATTTTAAAAAATTTGACTTACACCACTGTGGTTTTTATCCCTTCATATATATCTTACAAAAGTGGACTCTTCCAGTTTCAAGAAACGAGATTACAAAAAGAAATCCTTATATCTATACCTACATTTCATAAATTGCAAAGTGCATTAAAAAGAATAATAATCTCTTATAGAAATTTAATACTGTAAGTGATTTTTTGGCTAGTGATTAATCATTTAAAAGCACTATTAAAAGACTATTAACAGTGTTTTTAATAGTGCTTTTAAGTGATTATAATAATTACTAGCCAAAAAATCACTTACAGTATTAAATTTCTATAAAGGATGTTGCTTATTAAACTACTATGGAGTGATAAGAGCCACCTCAGCCACCACTGTGGTTTTTATATCCCTCGAATCCATATATCCTAATAAATTTGTTGTTATCATCATTGTACATTTTTGAAGTTTATTTGTCCGTAAAAATCACAAAAACCGATTACGCAAATTTTTACGTTGTTTTCCCACTTCATGCAGTACTACGCAACTGTATCATCTATAGCCAGACACCAAGTCAAAAAGTAAAGACACTAAGAAAAAAAATCGACTAAGAAAAAGAAAGATAAGAAAATAAAAAAAAGAAAAGCTTCTAATAATAAGGTCCTTTGCCATGCCCTTTCCGCGCTTTTGCCTTTATTTTTTATTTTTAATTTAAAATGTGCTATTTGATATTTTTTACTTTCTAACATAAACAACAACATATAATAATGAAAACAACACACAATAGCAACATAACATAATAATAATAACATAACATAATAACAACAATTTTTATAACATAATTACCACATATAATAAAATTTAATGTAATTAAACATTATAACTCGATGTTTAACTAACAAAAACTTAAAAATTTAATTTCCTGGATTATATAATAAATCAATCGCCAATTAAGTTGACCAAAGCTTCTTCAAAGTCATCTTAAATTTAATTAATTCATATTTTTCATTGTCATTCTTTAGCTACGCTATTCAAATAAATGCGTCCAATTTTCAAACCGCGCCGTCTCTGCCCGCATTGCCCGCAATGGCCGCAATATGTCGCGTGCAGGACGGACGTGCGAGACCGCGCGCGGGTTGAAGCTAACGCTCGTGATGCATCGAGAACGAGATTGCTCGTGAAAGACGGCCCGATCGTTGAACTCCCCCGCGTCCGTGTCCGTGTAAGCGCGAGTGAATTAGCGAATGGCGTCATTGGCGTCGAGCGTTCTACCGTCCAGGTCCAGCCGGGAAGGTTAACCTGCAATAAACCGAACGGCGACGCGCGGCACGCGGGAAGATGCCGCGCGCCAAGAGTTTGCCGCAGAAGCTGGTCAAGGTGGCGAGCTGTCACCCGTCGGCGAGCACATGGGTGTTCCTCATGAAGGGTGAGTGCGAGGACAATTTATTGCCGTTCATTACACTGACACAATTTCCCACAGTCTTCTCTGAACGACCGTCGATCTGATTTCTGCGATTGATCGCGTAGATGTGTTCTTTGTGAGAGAAACGACCTCTCCGAATTGCGTATCCAATGTATGTATTTCAGAAGATACTCTGGACAGCACAAGCGGGAGTCAACCAGAGATCGTAAAGCTTAGACATCCAGCGTCCGATAAGCCGGCTGTATTCGCATTCAGCCCTGGAAATCTCACGGTGCAAGAGGTTTTGATCTTTGACGAAAAGAAGAGATCTTGGTTCATCGATAATAATGTTAAATCTGATGGCAAGTTGCACTTGTCGACACCAATCGATCCAATCTTCTTGGCTTTGCCATACTTAAGGAAGGTAATTGTAGAACTTTACTTTTTTACCATTTACATATGTAGATATTTCTTTGAGACAGTCGTTGGAAAACTCATGTCTTTCTTACAGTCGCAAATGGCGCAACCTTTGGAACAATGTCTCTGGGATGAAGATTTTCCGGAGACGTCTCGTCTCGTGCAATGTGAAAACTTGAACCTGTCGTTGGTCGCGGATCGTAAGGGAGATGAATCGCTGCAAGCGTTCAAGTTTAATGAGGAGAAATCGTTGAACTGGTTGCGAAAGAAGGTAGAAAAGGTAGCGCACGTACTAAAAGAAAAAGGAGTCCATGTATCTCAAGGGGCTATGAGTGCCACTTACGTTAAGAGTACTAAATACGAAAGTGGTACAGAAGCAGGTAAGAAAAACAATATAATTATAAACCGCGATTATGATGCGGTTTTAAGTAACAAGGACATTGGATAAGATCAAACATTTGAGAATTTATCGATATCTGTTACAGCTGAAACGAGATATAATGAGATCTTAAACCAATTTTTGTATGCCACCATCTACAAACAAAAGATCAATTTATTGACAAAGCACTAATTGATGAAAATTTTCTTACAGAATACTTAAAATATGCGCATGGTATCGTGTCAGAATACCTTGCCGAAGATCTCTCAAAGAAGCTGGCACAACGTTTGAATATATCTGACGAAGTGGAGAATAAAAAACGCAAGCTGACTAGTCCTAAAAATGAGACGGATGAGAAGAAACTTAAGAAAGATTCGGTGGAAGAAAGCCCAGTGTCGAAAACAAAGAAGCAGACAAAAGAATTAAGTAAACCTGAAAAGGTCAGTTATTAATAAAAATAGTAATTATAATCATTTCAGTAAATGATAACTATGATTATAAACATCAACCTATGAATAAAATTTATATTAGTAATTTTTAACTGTTCGAAAATTGCAATTTATTGTTTTAATATTATAATAATGTTGTAATATTGTATTTGATTTGTTTATTTAAGATTATAAACATGGGAAAAATATCTATAAAATCTATAAAGAATTTTCAAAATAGTACATTTATGTGACCAACTTTATAATTCATATCTATATATTTTTTTACAGAGCCAAAAAAGCGCTGCCCCTGGCAAAAAGGAATTGGCTAGGCAGAGAGCAGCGGCAGGATCTAAAAGCATTACTAGCTTTTTTCAAAAGAAATAAATGTCAAGAAAGTGTAGAATGTTTTTAAAGATTAATGCATTATAGACATTTGTCATTATATCATGTACGGTTTTAAAATTTTTACTACTACGTATAAATCTGTGTGTTTAATGTCAAAGTTGAAAATTTTAATATTTTATTGATAATTATGTAACAAACAAATTTTTTCCGCCAATATTTCAATAAGTTTATGTAATACTATTAATATTTAAGCACGATGTAGCATGCAATAATAAATATTTAATAAAAGAATATACTAGCAACTAAATTCTTATTTTCTTATTCCTAACTTATATTTTTTTTAAATAAAATTTTAATGTTATTTAATTATATTCTGATACTTTGTCGATTTTTAAGAATTTAAAATTAATTTAATTATGTCTGTAATTAGAATATAAATGACGTCGATAATTACTGATATTTGATAAAATTACTTTTTATTTTACTGACTCTCAGTATTTATCGACGTCCTTTTAATTATCGATATTTATAGTTTTTTATACTCTTAAGTAACAAAAGAGAATTTATAATAATATAATTTAACTTATTCTAACATTGTATTTTTTTATTTAATTATATTGTATTATTCTATTATATTAAATTTTCAAGATCAGAGAGAAACATGAGAGAGACCATCCCGGCCTTTTTCGTGTGTTGCATTTTCCGACGAGCCGCCTGAGAAACCCAGGTAGCATTAATGTCTAAAAGACATCATAAAGATGTCTTTAAGATGCCAGAAATCTTAAAGATGTCTTTATGATGTCTTTTAGACATTAATTGCTACCTGGAAAGTGCTTGCAATTCAAACTCAACCGCCGAGCCGCCGCACAGTCGGGCGAGAGGTGGAACGCGTCGAGTCGAGCCCCCGGATCTGGCCAATCACGTTTCGCCGCTCCGCGCCGCCGGCGCGGCGGATCGATACGGTACGGTGACGTAGTAGGCAGTGTAGGCACCGCGCAGCGCGCAGTCCGTACCAACTCGTACTAGCGGCGCGACCGTTGAACTCGAAAGCTCCGTACCTCCGAAGATCGGCGCGTTTTCGACGTTGTTTCTGGCGATGAGTGGACTTGTTTCCATCAACGCTCGGAGTAGTGTTACCTGCGTGAGTGACTCAGCTATCATTCTCCCGAGGAATTTCGCACAGGTAGGAAGTATTTGTGCTCCGCGCGCGCTCGAGTCACCGACGTCAGTGACGTCACCGTGCTTCGTGCTGTTTTCTGAACGCGCTCGTTTCAGTGATTGGCATGCCTGCTTCCTCGTTTCGCGAGCCGCGGGAATAATTGCTACGCGAGTACGCGCCGTGTGTGTTCAACAATTTACGAGTGTATAAGAGGTGTCTGTCGGAATGAATAACGTGTCGCGCGACGCGCTCACTCGAGACGTCGAGGTACGCGAAGGTATGTAAACGACAATTGCATGAACGATGTACAGTTTCGCTGTGACATTCGCGGGTGATAGTCGCTCGTCCCGCCATGTCTGGACTCGCGAATCGCGAATGTGCGCATTCATTTATCTCGCGTCGTGCTTCGAACGCTGTGTGCCGGAATTGTCGTGTCATGTGATTTATCTCCGATTCTCTCCGTAGGGAAAAAGAGGGCTGAGTGACAGTGTCGTATCGAGTGATTCGAGTAACGGAACGCCGTGATACATCGCGCTCGTCTCGTGAACGCTTCGTAATCTCCTACATCTCGCGTCGCGTAAATTAGCGGCCGGCAGTCACGATTCTTCGTCGTGCATATTAATAATGCGGTTATACTTTCGCGAGATTTACGATTTTGATACCGTACGTGCTGTGAGTGTGATATTTAATTTCAATCAACTGCGTGCCTTTGTTAACCATCCGCTCGACTTGCGTAGTATCGCGCCCGACTCCTTCAAATTTGCACGAAAAATTGTTACCTAGCTGCTTTTGTATTATAGAGTAAAGATATACTTCCTTCCCACGGGTACGACCTTGGCGAGGTGGGAAGGCTCAGTACTCAGTACGAGGATTTTACCCAAGCAAAACTCTTGTTCTGCTTGGATAAGAATCCAAAGACGGGGAAGCTAACGTACCCTCGCGTCCGCCGATTTAATTGAATAAACGAACCGCAGCCGGTTCGTCGCGTTTGCTTCGGGAGTGCCGTTCAAGTAATCGGACTAGAGAACTTTTTTAAACGGGAGTGCCGTACAGTATCGCGCGAGAAAGACTTTTAATGAAATTAGTCCGCGCGCGATTGCAGTTTATTATCCGCGAGTGTTTCTCGCGAGTGTCCTGTGCGGTGAGAGGAGGAAGCCTGACGTCCTGAGAGGAGGAGGAGGTCTGAGAGAGACATCGGGCACCGGCGGAGCAACCTTGGGGTAAGTATCATCTCTTAGCTATACATATAAAATTGATAATTTGTTTCCATTTATTCGAAGTGTTTAATTTTAATTTCGATAAGTTAAAAGTAATTGAGAGAGAGAGAGAGAGAGAAGAAAGAGAAGTTATCTAAAATTCTATGCTTGTAAAGATCTTCGATAAACAGATAAATTGTATTGCTAAATATTTTATTGAAAGACGAATTAGAGACGCGTAAGAATCAACTTTTCAAATGTTAATAATTTTGAGCGCTTTTTAAATTTAAATCTTATGTTTGTATGTTACAGTATCACCGTAGCTACGTGGCTGCATAACTCCGCCCGTTGCGCATTGAATCGGTGAGTCAATAAATAATTTTTTTATTGAGGTAACGAATCTACGAATATATAATTAAATATAGAGCAATAATATATCTCGGTACATGCCGATTTACAATAATTTGTAGTATGAAAATATTACATTTCGTAGATCTATTGCCTTAAAATGGATGGGCTAAAATTGATTATGGGAAATATTTAATCTTGGTATCATTTGTATATTGTTGTATTTGCTGATTGTTATTGATTTATTGTGCGATTGTGCTTGAGGAAATACTCGCACACTTCGCACGCACCAAGCTCGTGAAGAACTTATTAAATTATGTTAACGAACTGCCGCGTTTTATATAAATTACTTTTGAATGAAGTTTTTAAGTACATAAATTAAATTTTTGAATTTTTATTACATAGATCAATTCTATTTAAAACTAGAGTAAATAATAAATATTTTAGAAACACAAGAGAAACAAAAAGTAAAATAATTCTTTAATAATTAAAGTAATGATTTTTTAAATAAAATTTTTTTAGATTTCTTTGAAAAATTATTTTTGTAACATTATATATATATTTTTTTTCTGAAACAAAAGAGATAATAAGTAAAATATGGTGTCAGAGTTAGATGTTATAGGAAATAGTATTTGTAGATAGGGAAAAATTATGAGTTAGGATGTGTTTTATTTATACTTACCCATTTATTCATTTCCATATATTTAACCAAGATTAAATATTTATAAATCGATGCAAGAAAGCAATATATAAATATATTTAGAATTTATTAGATAGAAAACGTGATAAAGTTGTTATTTATTACTAAAATTTATTTTAACGAAGCATCGATTT